TTCCTTTCCTTTCCTTTCCTTTCCTTTCCTTTCCTTTCCTTTCCTTTCTTTCTTCCTTCATTTCTTTCCTTTCTTTTTTATCTTTTACTGGCCTTATAGGTTGTCCAAATCAGACCTGACTTTCAGCAGTATTCAATTTCCCTGCCCTATAACTTGCATTAAAATAAAGTAAAATACAATTAACACACCAAAACCATAGAAATACAAAGTAAAATTCCAAGAATAGTTGCGGTCCAATGCTCTTCCCATTAAAACCATTTCCATTGGTAGAGAGACAAGCATCCTATTGACCTGCCCAATTTGTTCAAGCAGCCAACTCTTTGCTGACTTTCTAGATGCCCACATGGAAAGGGACATTCAAATGTCTCTGGGAGACGTTCCCAATGAGGAAGTAGAGATACGGAAGGTATGTTTCCACAATCCCTGTAGTTGGCACTCAGAGGGCAAGAGGATGTAGAGAGAGACCACCACATCTGATCTTGTCAAGTCAGGTTGATGTCATGGTCAAAGGAGGGCCTGAGTCCTAAGGCATCTGGGCCCTAAGTCATGCAGGGCTATGAAGCATCTTGAATTGAACCCAGAAACCAGTCAGGAACCAATGCAGCTCCTGGAGTACAGTACCAACTCTTGCCACACCAACTTCAGAGGTATTCCACCCTAGGCTTCCCCCCAAAGCACTAAGCAGACTCTTTGTCCCGACCAAACACCATTTATTAAACAAATGTGAAATTATTGCATTCACATTCAGCCAACGGCCTGGCAAACAGTCTTTCAAGGGTATTATTAGGAGCTCAAACCTTATCAGTCTTGGAAAGCTGCCCGGTAAATATTTCCAAATGCAGTGCTGACAAGGAAGGGCTAAGCACAGAGTCTCTAAGATGCACGGACAGATCTTCACAATGATGGAACGAACGAACGAAATGTTTCCTGCAGAAGCCTTTTTGCTTTTCTTTTAATCCCTATGGGAGGGGCCATTCAACGTCCACCTGTAGCCTTAGTCCCATGTCCACCCTTAGTTCTTAATTGTGCCTTCCTTTTGGCAGCTCTGCACATGTGCAGGCTGGGAACTGGTTCCAGCTGCTCCCCTGCCTCACTGCTGTCTGACTCTGAAGGCAGCCGATGACTGCTAGCCTGCTCTGGCCCCATCTCTGCCTCTGACGCAGAGCCCTCGTCCGAGTCTTCCTCAGCCTCCAGGACTGGCCCAGGTTCCTCCCCAACCTCCTCGCTGTCTGACGCTGCTGCCAGCTCCATCAGCTGCTGGCAGGCCACAACAAGGGGTTTCTCTCCAAAATGACTTGCAATATGTCAGTGAAGACTCAATCATCCAGGCCCAAGGTATCTAAAGATTGAATTGTGGCAACTAGTCCAAATGCATATTTACCAGATGGTGTACATGTGATAGACAATTCTCAGAACATCTGCCATTATCAGTTAATTGTCAAGGTAGGGACCCAAGAGGTCACTGCTTTAGAATAATGACATGGTTTTTTTTAAAAAAAAATATTTATTTTCAAAATACATATTAAATTTACATCTTAATGGTTCTGTGTCAAGCATTACTTAAATACAATATTTACAATTCTTCTCCATATCAAATCTTATTTCTCTTATTTAACCATATACATAACATTTCCCAAACCTCATAGAACTCCAATTCTTCTTTACCTTTTAGTTTTCTCGTCTGTCTGTCCATCTCAACACAATCAAGTATTTTATTTATTATCATATTTTCTGAAGGAATATCGTCTATTTTCCAGCTTTGGGCATAAGCAATTCTTGCCGCTGTTAATATATGTTGTACGATGTATTGGCTATGTTTCTTTGGGTTTCCTTTAATCATCTGCAGCAAAAAAGCTTCTGGCTTAAATTCAATATATTAAATTTGAAAAAAAAAAGAATAATGACATGCACAATTGGTAATATTTTGACTCAGAGAACTGTGTAAGAATTTCTTTTTTTGAAAAGAGCTTATCTATTTAACAGAACCATTCCAAGATTCACGTAAAGATGCAGATATATTAGAAAAACTACAGCCATATGTTAACTACTTTTAATAACTTTTTATGCCTCTCCAAAAGGCAAGCTGACAACAAATCATACCACGTCTGTAGGGGGTCATAATGAGGACAATTAATTTTCCATTGCAAATAGAATGTTTTTTTTTTTTCTGCTTGAATTATGACAAAAGGAAAAGGTTCAAGGTCTAATGAGATGCTTGTCTTTTCAAATAGCTGGCTTGGGTGACAGTGTTTCAAATTAAGGGTCACCATTATGCATGAAAAATTGACAATTGATTGAAAATGCGCTCATTCATCTTTCTAACTAGCTGGGTTCTCCCCTCCCTATCATCTTCCTCTCCCTGATATTGGTTGAAAAACAGGAAAAAGCCACAGTTTCCTGAGTTCTTAAGAAAATGAGACCTATCCTTATTGAAGAACATATCTGCCAAAGGGGATTTTTTTTTCAAGGAGAGGGAAAAGAGTGGACTGCAGAATGATGGGTTGGGCTGTTGGGATACAGGTAGCTCTTGATTGACAAGCACAAGGAGTTGAACGTCACCGTAGTTACCACCTCTTTCGATGCCCTGGTATTTGGACTTCTGAAACTGGGAGTATTTTGCATCAAAGCCTTTTGTGTGAAATGATTTAGGCCCCTTCCTTACACAAAAGCTGCACTAATCTGGGTCTGGCACAACATCTTGGCATCCCCATGAGACTGAGGCTTCTGGAGATCTTTGCATATGAATCAATAACAGGCAATCCTCACATTATGACTGTAATGAAGCTTGCCTGTTGTGGTCCTAAGATAAAATAGTTGGAAATTGGTAACCCTACCTGATTTTATGATTCTTTTGCAGCAATCATTAAGTAACCCCTCTGTTATTAAACGAACCTATTGTATTCTATGGCCAAAACCCAAACATAAGTGCCAGTTTTGGTCAAAAAGTGTAAAACAATGCATTTGGATGATCATAGGACAATGTAAACAGCCAGAGGTAGGATTCAAATTTTTTAACATCCGGTTCTGTGGGCATGGCTAGGTGGGCATGGCCATGTGACTGGGTGGGCATGGCTTCTTCTTCTTCACTTTTTGCAGCAACCCCCGTTTTCATTTTGTTTCTTACCTCTTGGGCCTCAGGCAAGACTCCTGGCGGGAAGGCATTTTTGCTCCCAGAAGTCTTCCCTGGGGCCCAGGAAGGCAAAAAATGGAGCACAGGGAGGCGCACAGCTTTGTCGCTCATATCCTTACGATTTATATTGACTATTTCCTAGTGTAATTTGATTGCTTATTTCTACCCCATCATTAAGTGTTGTATCTTATGACCCTTGATGAATGTATCTTTTCTTTTATGTGCACTGAGAGCATTTGCACCAAGACAAGTTCCTTGTGTGTCTAATCACACTTGGCCAATAAAGAATTCTATTCTATTCTATTCTATTCTATTCTATTCTATTCTATTCTAT